CTGTGCCGAAATTGGAGGTCACAGGTCAAAGGTCAATGGGCACAGGGCAGATTTTAGACATTTTCTAAGGACATGGTCTGATGAAGGACGTGTCCTAACAATGATGTGTACGCAACTGCGTGTCTGCATATCTGCGCCTAACAAATGTGGTACTACGCACGACTGAAATTTTACGTTTATAATCGTAGCAACAGACCTCAGATGAGCCCAGACGCTCTGCGGCTCTTGTTTTATTTTACTATTTACGGTGACGTAATCATTTTAAGGCTAAGACGTGTCTATAATAGCTAGAATTTATAGAAATGTAACTCAAATTGTTCGCGCCATATGATAGTTAGTACACTTTCCTACCGGTCGATCATACGATTCATAGTGTAATAGCATATGCGAATTCTATTTTTATCCACCAATCACATTTCGGAGCAATTCCTCTGTTTAGACGCATGTCTGTAATGCATCATCACTGAGGTTATAACATGCAGCTGCGTTTATCACTTATTTTTATAATTGTTTTTTTTTTATAATACCATTATAAATGGGATTATGGATCATATCATATGTATCACCATCAATCATATGACAATGACATATCACGTGGATGGTGATCTTAGTCCATAGTGCACAATCCTAATTTTAAACCCCGCAAACGTGTTTTTGCAAATGTGTCGATCTAATCCGCGGTGCTAAGCTAGGATTGGGCCTATAGAATCACATGTAAACAAAGTGATATACAGTACACAATCTATTATCCGAAATTCTGAAAACCGAAAAGCTGCGGAAACGGAAATTTTTTTCGTGGAGGTAGCCATATGGAAGTCCTGAAAAGACATACAACTTTTTGAGTTTCTGAGTTTCGTATTGTATATAGTACTAGAGATGGAGGTCAGGCAAGGGTCACACGGGGAATAATGTAAACACGTGAGAACACGCATTGGGAATTGTTTGTAAGTTGAAAACATTAGGCCCTATATGCTTTCTCGCTATATGCTAGAACACACATTTACTCTCCCGGTATAGGGGATTCTAAATTTGAGTTATGCTATCCCGCTTAAAAAGGCAAACATATTTACTCTCATCGTAGGGGATTCTAAATTTAAATTGTTCTTTCCCGCTTAAAACAACACACATTTACTCTCACGGTAGGGGATTCTAAATTCAATTTGTATTTTTTCACTAAATAACACTCATTCAATCTCACGGTAGGCGATTCTAAATTCAGGGGTAGAAATTAGTTTGAAAATTTACAGGCCTTCCGGGCTTGTAGGTAAGGAATTTTACAGGCCCGCCAGGCAAATTACAGACCCACATCATTCCCCGGATACTGCAGCATTTAAAAAAAATAGGAATTTTACAATGGTTTATTTACAGTAATACGAAGAACATATTTAGTGACTAAATACTAATGAGCTGTTAGAATTCTCACTGTTCTCCCTGGTGTCCTCACTCTCTGGGCTCTTTTTTAACTGTTGGCTGGCCTGCACTACACCAATAGAATGTACACAAACTCTGCATGTTTACTCCATGTCTAAGTCATCTAAGGAAATGTCCACTGGGGCCGGATTCTAGAACAGTTCGTACGCACAATATCGTGCGTATCTACGTTCGTACTCACAAACAGGAATTTTGGTACCAGGGTTCTCCCTACGTTGCGCAAATGGGGCGTGCGCGCCCCGTTTGGGAAAACTCACGTTTCAATCGTTGCGCCCCGTTTAAATTACCTCCGCCCCGATTAAATTCCACCACAATAAAAGTTTGCCAGCGC